ACGAACCGCCAGCACGACGTTTTGTTTCCGTTTTGGCTGGCGCCTCCAGCCATTGTGGTCCGGTACCCCGCAGCCCTAAAGGTGCAGCGCGTTAAGGCTGCGGCCAATGTATGGGCCCAGTACTGGTTGTTTATTATTATTATTATTATTATTATTATTATTATTATTATTATTATTATTATAGTACTGCTGGTTTAATGTGGCAGAAAACCCCTTAATGTGGAAAAACACCATTCACACTAAACAAAGTAAATGAAACAATGCAAAAAAAAAAAAAAAACGCCCCTGCAGCAAAAAAAGACCGAAGCTACCAGAGTGGCCTGCAACCACTTGCCCAGCCGGGCCACAAAAAATTAAAAATTAAAAACATAGATTAAAAAATATATATATTAAATTATATTTTGAATTTGGTATTTTTTTTTTTTCTCTTTTTTTTTTTTACCAGACAAAGCAGATATCATATAACTGGGAAACGGGCCCGGTGTCCCTTACATCATTTGCTGCGGCCAAACGGGCTAAGCAAGGCACTCTTGGCCAAACCTATCCCCACCACAGCCCCACAAGGTCATCACAACCAATCCCGATCCCAACCCTAAAACAAAAATCGCGTTCCCTAATTTAAGAAAGTGAAATCCTAATCCACCCCTTCGAGTTCTCCAAATCGCCATTATTAAGCAACCCTAATCTACCAAAATTCAAGCCAGGTACTAACAAATCGCCAACCAAAAGCACAAAACAAGATTGTCAATTATCTAATCCTTATTACCCACGGACAGAATCCCGAAAAGATTCACTAAGTTCCGGCCCTATACCCTCCGCACCTCCAATCAGCAACTCACATGATGGACCAACCCACGGGCAAAAGCAACGACCATTCACAAAATTCACACTCTACACTCTGTATACCTCTAATTAAAACCGCCAACCGGCAACAAGGTAGCAAGGTAGCAGTTCTTCGCCAATCTCTGAAAATCACGATCGTAATGAGCACCAATCCTACCTAGCGAGTATCACTACACAAAAAAACTATTTATATATACACCCCCAAAGTTCCCAACCCCCCCCCCCCCCGGGGATTGGTACTGTTCTATACTGAGAAGACACAGCCAAATGATGATTAGAATCTAAAAACACAATGAAGAATCTGTGAAAAAAAGCACCAAAGGTGTACAGGGACGCTGGACCCGATTTCCAGCAGGTGTTGCTCCCCACCAATAGATGGAGCCTTCGCTGCAGGGGTCAAAAAAAAAAAAAAAAAAAAAAAAAAAAGAGAATCATGAGCAACACACACGCCCGAAGTAGGAGCTTAGACAACAATGGACAACGGTTACCCGGTCGCGGAGCTTGAAACCCGTTGTCAACGACGGACAGTGGGCGATACCAGTCGCGGCATGAAGTCCGTTCTCTCACTCCTGGAAGTCGACGTTTGTCGATGCACTCTTGTCCTTCATCTCCAGCTCTTCGCAMARATAAAACTGCAACCGCCGTTGCAACACGGTCATGTTCCGTATCTGTAATCAGAGGGCAAAGCCCCTGATAGGGCGATAACACTGATACGTACGATACGCAGAGCTTGCCCGTTAAGAATTTGGTAAAGAATTTTGATACGACCCTGACGCAAAAGTGGTTCAGTTTATTTTTCTGCATAACATATTTATTTTTGCATTTGCTGGGACCTTCTTTGGTAGTACTGGAATGCAATCATTTTTTTTTACAACTAAGAAAAGAAATAAAAAACAAAAAAAAAGTAAGAAAATTTCCACGAAAAAAAAAACTCAAAAAAATCCACCAAAAAGGTAAGTCCAATAATACCACCTACAGGCAAGTAATGTAAAGCGCTTTCGATGAACTTCTGCTATCGTTATTTTTAGCATCATGACCACAAATCAAAACAGAACAGCAGGTACTTGTTTGTGGTTAGACTGCTCATGTGTGTTGGTCACCTTAGGCTCTACTTTGGGGGGGGCAAGGACTGGAGGTGGGATGGGGTCCCGTTTGGGGGGAGGGTTGGCTTGGGACAAGCTCTGCTGGAGGATATCGGTGCGGAACCTACAGTAGGGGATTGTCTTAAGGGATCCCGGTAGGAGGGGTGTTAGTAGACAGACTCTGGTGGAGGACATCGTTGGGGAACCCGCAGTAGGGGCTGTCTGAGGGGGATCCTCCAAGATAGGATGGTCTGGGTCCCATAAATTAGTTGCTGACTGTAGATAGGTACCTGTCATGGGTTCAGATACCGACCTCTACAACACCCTGGACTTGAAAAAAAAAAAAAAAAAAAAAAAAAAAAACAGAACAGCAGTAGCTCCTACATTAAAAAAAAAACACCAAAAAATCCACACCAAAAATATCAAGACCTGCAGTCTGTTTGTGAACCCGTCTTTGAAAGAAGACTGCACAGTGGTGTATGCAATGTTTTTTTTTGTTTTTTTTGTCCAGGGCAGCTGCCTCTACATATCATCATTGAACTGACATGCCCCGGGCGAATTCGACACTCACCTGGTCCCCGGGGGATTCAAACTCGGGTCTGTGGTTCAACCGTTCATGGGTGTACCGACTAAACTACTGTCTTTCCCCGAACGTATACACATATATCGTCAAACACAACGAATACGACGTATAGGTTGCGTTCCATTCGAATACAACACGTATGGGTTCTATTCTAACAGATGGTATATCCGAAAACAACGCATAGGCATTCTCTTCGAGTCGTCGAATGTTTTCTTCTTCAAAAACTCGAATACAACGTGTATGCGTTATGTTTGGGGGAAGACGGTCAGACAGTTGGAAGTTGCTTGCCTTCCTCTTTCCGTGCCCTTGCTTCCTGCCCTGCTGCCCGCTTCACTGCCCACCTACGAGATTGCTTCAGTGTAACCCGGTTGAGGGTTCGAATCCCATATTCCGCTCGGGGACGTTACTCGACTAGTTTCTTTTCATCCTGTCTCTCTGACCGCCTGCCCGCCCACCCGCCTGCCATCTGCGCTACTCCAACCCCGATGCTGGATTGCCCGAGTGTTTGCTTTGTTTCGCGTTTGACTCTCCTTGCTCACTTGCGTGGGGTTGCCTTGCACCCCTGCCGCTTGTTTTTGCAGCTTGTCTGCCTGCTTGCCTTCCCTGGCGTTCTGGCCCATCTGCCCGCTTGCTTGCCATGCTGCACGCACTTCATTGCCTTGCTGCCCACCCTGCTGCCCGTTTTCCTGCACCGCTTGCCTGGCCCGCCCGTGCCCATCTTCCCACTTGCTTGCCTTGTTGGTGCACGCGCTTCATTGCCTTGCTGCCTACCCTGCTCCCTGCGTTCCTGCCCTGCTTGCGGCTTGCCTGCTCATCCGCTCACTGGACTGCTCACCCTAATTTTAGTCGTTCTGTTGCTTGCTTGCCTTGTTGGTGCACGCACTTCATTGCCTTGCTGCCTACCCTGCTGCCTGCTTTCCTGCCCTGCTTGCGGCTTGCCTGCTCATCCGCTCACCCTGATTTTACTCGTCCTGTTGCTTGCTTGCCTTGTTGGTACACGCGCTTCATTTCCTTGCTGCCTACCCTGCTGCCTGCTTTCCCGCCCTGCTTGCGACTTGCCTGCTCATCCGCTCACTCAACCGCTCACCCTGATTTTACTCGTCCTGTTGCTCGCTTCCCTTGTTGGTACACACGCTTCATTGCCTTGCTGCCTACCCTGCTGCCTGCTTTCCTGCCCTGCTTGCCTGCCCATCCGCTCGCTCGCCCCAATTTTACTTCTTTTTTCTATTATTATGTGTTCTCCTCGTAAAGGGCGACGGCCTTGAGATGTCATCTTCCAAGTTCAAACCCATCGGCCGCCTGCAGGTAAATTCAGAGTTGCATGGATTCAGACTCGGGTCTTTGTTTCGACACTTCATGGGTAATATGCGCTTCATTGCCTTGCTGCCTACCCTGGTGCCTCTTTTCCTGCTCTGCTTGCCTCCCCACCCGCTTCACCCGCTTGCTCGACTGCTCGGCCCGATTCTAGCCTTGTACTGTTGCTTTGCTTCCTGCCCTTTCGCCTGCCCGCCTACCCTCTGTCTTTACTGTTGGCCCCGCCGACTGGCTGCCCATCTTCTTCCCTTCTTGCCCCGTGCTGCTCGTCCGCTTGCCTTCTGCTTCCTTGCTACTGTGTGCTGCTCTTGGCATTTCCTCTTGCGGCCTTGCCTCCCTTGCCCTGCCACCTGTCTGTCCCCTTGCTAGCCCTGCTGCCTGCTTTGTTGCCAGCACACGGACTCACTTGACTGTGACTTCTCTCGAAGCGTCAATATGGGGATTCTGCACACTGTTAAGGGTTCGTTCTCCTGATGAATCGCTTAGCGCCAGATGGAACACCATCACAACCTTGTCCTTCTTCGTCTTCATCTCTTGCTTTTCTTTCCTTCCTTCCTCCTCAGTTGGATTTTTTGTCTCTCCTGCCATTCACCCTTCCAGTTGACTTCTCCGAGATTGCTTGAGCGTCACATTCATTTCTCTTCAACGAAGAGTGATGTGAGAATACTCAGGAGGGATATTGCATGGTTTCCCCATGAAACATGGCAGTTTGAAATACAGAGTTACTGTATGCTCTCTCTCTCTCTCTCTCTCTCTCTCTCTCTCTCTCTCTCTCTCTCTCTCTCTCTCTCTCTCTCTCTCTCTCTCTCCCCCCCCCCCTCCCCCCCCTCACACACACACACACACACACACACACACAGAGTGCAGTCCTCAGCCAATGCACTTATCAAAGTCTTTTGTGAGGTTACAAACATAGTCCCGCACAGGCAATGCGGGAGCAAAAAAACATAGTCCCGCACAGGCAATGCGAGAGCAAACGGTTCCCCACAGGCAATGCGAGAGCAAACATAATCCCCCACAGGCTATGCGAGAGTAAATAACATATTATTATCTTGATCGAAAAAAAAGGCCACAACAGATGGGTGGGTGCATGACATGGACGACGTATTTAGTCCCCCACAGGCAAAGCGAGAGTAAGTAACATATTATTATCTTGATCCAATAAAAAAGGCCACAACAGACGGGTGGGTGCATGACATGGACGACGCATTTAGGGACATGATTTTTAAGGACTTGACTGCTTCACCTCCCTCTGAATTGCCTTGAAATCTTCACTTTGGGTGACAACTAAAAAACACCATCAAAAAAAAAAAAAGGAAAAAAAAAGAGGCACCGTGGTGGAATTTCCTCCTCGGTGTCTGTTCCGTTTTTATTCCCAACTATTTTCCTCTGTCATGCTCAATATCCTCTATCCAGGATGAGCCCTTTTTTCTTTTTGGGTGCTTTGCCATATAAGGCTGAACTCTCAACCTACCTCCACAATTCTCCAATGGAAAAGACATCCCCACCGCCCTCCCCCCCCCCTCTTCCTGCCTCCATGCATATTCACTTACCCATTCACCCTTTCTCCTGACGGCTGCTATGGCAGCTTTCCAATGCAATTGGCCAAAACTTGGACTGCAAAATCAATCTCTTCGTCAGCAATCACAAGGGGGGGGGCTAGTCTAACTACATCCCCCTTCCCTGCGGTGATGGCCAAGACCCCCGATTCCCTTGCAGCATCGATGATCGGCCCTGCGGGGACATCCAACTGGATCCCAACGAGCAGGCCAACCCCTCTTATCTCCTTCACATGCTTGTTGGCGCTCAAAGCGTCTTGAAGCGAACGCTTCAGACGTTCACCCTTTTTGGCCACGCCTTCCAAAAACCCATCCGATTCGATGCGATCAAGTACAGCGAGTGCTGCATGGCATACCAAAGGCCCTCCAGCAAAAGTGCTCCCGTGATCACCAAAGCTCAAGGCGGATGCCACTGCCTCTGTCACGAAAGCCGCTCCGATTGGAAGGCCACCTGCAAGTGGCTTGGCGACCGTCATAATGTCTGGGTAGATATCGTATGCTTGATGAGCCCACAGACGACTAGTCCTTCCAAGCCCGCACTGCACTTCGTCAAACACCAACAACGCACCGGACTCGTCGCACATCTTCCGCAGACCTTCTAGAAACTGCTTCGTTGCGCTGTGAATCCCGCCTTCTCCTTGAAGTGGTTCGACAAAGACAGCTGCCGTGCGCCCCTTCTTGATCGCTTGCGCAGCTGAGTCCAGGTCTCCGAAAGTTGCGAACGACGCCCCCGGCATTATCGGCTCGAACGGGGTTCGATACTGCTCTTTCCATGTCAACGCCAAGGCACCAAGTGTGCGCCCATGAAAGCAATTCGAGAAGGAAACGATATCGGTAGGAGGCGGGTCTGTCGATTCCGCATGCTTCACTCGCTGGTATTTGCGCGCAAACTTGATTGCAGCCTCGTTCGCTTCCGTGCCGGAGTTACAAAAGAAGATGCGGTCGGCAAACGACGACGCAACAAGTCGCGACGCAAGCTTGACCTGGGGCTCCGTGAAGTACAGATTGCTAACATGAGCCAAAGTGGCTGCTTGCTCAGAAACTGCCTTCACCCACGTTGGATCCGAATGGCCGAGACAATTCACCGCGATACCTGCTGCCATATCCAAGTACTCCCTTCCCTCTGCATCATACAGTTTACAGCCCTGTCCGCGAACGATCACTATGGGTGCTCGTGCATACGTCCGAACAATCACCTCCGCATCTCTTTGCATGATGTCAGCTGCCATCGATGCCTCGGAGGTCTCGCTTGTAGCCAGAGTCACTGCGCTCGGGGGCCTCCCCTCATCAGGAACAGCACTCATTGAAACCACTGCCTTCCTTCCGGAGCGATGAAGTCTGCGACGGGAAGTTTGGGGGGTATGGACTGCCGTCTCTGGCGATGACAAACCCTGCAGAACTGCAAGACCCCGTTCGGGTAACTCCTTCTTGAAGGTAGAGTGCAGGCCCTCAACGTTGGCCACTGCTTTGAGGCGGCCGCCCGTTCTAGCATGACCTGGGGACCAAAAGCCACAGGATTTTCCAGCAGCCTGAATCTGCCCTGAATCTGAACCCTGTGAAGACGACACTTCACAAGGCGTATCGCTGGGCTGTTGGAGGGTGAAACTCCCCACGTAAGCTCCAGAGAGAGACTGACAAAGTGCCTGCATCTTGAACAAAGAACAGCAGACCCTACCTCGCTATACTTTACCGACAAACCTCAGCACGTGACAACTTCAACGCAGTGACGGATGTTTACAATGCTGCAGTTCACAATCACCCAACAGGATTTTCAGACAGTCGGAACCTACCAAAAGTATGCACAGAAGAGTCAGAGAAGACCCATCCTCTTTTCTCTTTTTTCTTTCTAAATGGGATAGGCCCTAACTTTATAGTGTACATTTGGGGCAAAGTTCCACTAGAAAAGAGGACCCTATTTAACACCAGAATCGGGACATGTTTGTGGAGACATGAAGAAAATTCTGGACATGTTTGTGGAGACATGAAGAAAATCCTGGACATGTTTGTGGAGACGTGCAGAAAATCCTGGACATTTTCAAAAGATCTTCGTGCTTGAAAAATCTCTTGGTTTTCTTTCAAAAGGACGACCACTTTGAGGTATCAGGAGAGTCAACCATGTGACATTCCAGATGAACAGTGGAGAAGGAAGAAGGGTGACAAGGAGGAGAAGGATTAAACCACGAGTACACCCGGGCCTGGAGGAGGCGCTGCAACTGTGTGCAAAACATTCCCGAACCGCCAGCGGCACACTTGTTTTCATTTCGGGCTGGCACCACCAGCCATTGTGATCAGGTAAGCCCCGAGCCCCCGGAAAGTTCGGAGTTGGCTACTTGAGTGCCCTGGCGGTTTAAACCACCAGTATGTTTCCCCACTTGAAAATCAAATACGCGCCGCTATATTCGGGAGAGCCAAGCGGGGTTCGGTACTACCGGATGGAAATGGCTGGTGGCACCAGCCAAAATGAGGCCCGCGCCGGTTCCTTTTTTTTGGGCACACAGGGCGATTTTAGGCTCGGCATTGACAGCTGAGAAACGTACTGGTGGTTTAAGGGTCTGCATACATGGCTCCTTTCGCCAATCGTGATTATTATCAGCGCCGTAGGGCTTGCATACACGGCTCCTTATCATCGCAATGCCTAGGAGGCTGAGCATCCAGTACCATAACCAACATAATCAGGCTGCTGAAGGGGGCACGTTAAATCCAAGGTTAAAAAGAAACAAACAAAAACAAAGCGATGCCGAGGTCGCCTGGGACCCAACCAGCCAAATTTCGGGGCAGATGCAGGTGGCCTGTGCGCCCAGAGATGTAACCCAGCAGAACACGTCGTGAGTTCGAATCCTATGAAATCAGATGGATAGGAAACGAAAAGTAAATACATCTCGATGATCTCGTCTTTAATTGGTTTTCTGTGGAGTTCTGCTTAGGTTTATTACAAGGAATTTAGGAATTTCTGTCTTTAATTGGTCTTCTGTGGAGCTCTGCTTAGGTTGATTACAAGGAATTTCTGGCTCTCTGTTGGAACCGCTTATTGGTTGGTTCTCATGGGTTATATGCGCTTGACAAATTTTTGTTACTGTTTTGGTTGAATTTTATACGGCTTTTATGCAGTTGTGATAGGGATTGTGTTGTGACTTCGTCATCTCTGCCGATTTCGGCAATAAACTATGGTTGTGGTGCATCTATGCGCTGGGGCGCGCGATGCGCCGCGCACCAATGCGCAGCCCGCCAGTGCGTTGGGGGACGCCCGGGGCTCGCGCATTGGCGCACATTGTGCGCGCAGCATTTTTTTCAATTCTGAGGGGAGGGGGGGGGAGG